CTTATACCACGAACATTCCGCGACTACATGAACACGGTCTTCGCATTCGAAGCTGCAATCACATTTGAACTCGTTGTCTTCGTCATCTACCGTCCTATGTCTTCATCGACGTTCTCGAAGGCCTACGTCCCCGGTCCTGAATTTGACCTTAAGCTTTGTTCCTGCATCCATTGGTCCATGTAGGTAGTCCTTGAACCCTATTCCTTCCTTCAACATTCCGTACACTTCTAGACCCTCCTTATCCTTGGATTCTTTCCTCAGATTCTGTTCTTCTCTCTCGGCACAAGCAACAGATATCTTCTCCTTGAACCCCTGTAGACCCTCCGTTTCCAGCGTTTCATCTTCGTCGATGTCGAGCCCCTTCCATACGTCCTCTACAACCTTGACCCATTCCGTGGGTTGTCTACCCCTCTTTTTGTTTGCCCACTTCGCCTCCCATACAATTCTCGGCAACCTCTCCTCTCCCATCCCGCACATGCGATACTGCCAGGTCAGCTTCCTCGCGTCTCTTCCCGACCGTAGGGATTGGATCCCCAATTCTGCCCTCACGGCTGCATTACTTGTGCGCCTGGAGCATCCTAGGATGGTTTTCGCTGCTTTCATCTGCGCCGCCTCGAGTTCTTTCACTACCTTCTTATTTCCTTCCCATACTTCTCCGGCGTACTCTAGCGGCGGTACGATTACGCTCTTCAAAACCGTCAATTTGATGCGTGTATCGAGGTGCCGGTTTGCGAGTATTGGGTGCAGCTTCCCTGCTCGTGCTTTGCCCTTTTCCGCTACCTTGGACATGTGTGCATTCCACGAGCAGTCTTTTGCGATCTCTACTCCGAGGTATGTGTACTGGTCCACTACTGCAATCTCCTCGATCCCCCACTTCCATCTATGTTCTACTGGTTCCTCCTTGTTCTCGTTGCAAACCATGACGGCACTCTTCTGAACGTTGGCAGACAATCTCCACTTATCAGTAAACTTCTTCGCCGCGTCAATTTGCAGTTGCAGTCCCTCAGGGGTGTCCGACATACCGACAAAATCATCCGCAAACAGCATTCCTGAAACCGACGTTTCCGTGTCCCCTACTTTTACTCCCTTCCGGACTGCCTCTACGACTTCCAACAGATCGTTGATGAACACCTGGAACAATGTTGGGGACAGCGTGCAACCTTGTGGGACCCCCTGCTCAATGTCGAAGAATTTTGACAGTTCTCCGTCTAGCATGACCGCGCTTTTCGTGCACTCTGTCATCTTCTTCAGCACTCTCCACATTTTCCCCTTGATCCCGTATTTGGACAGTTGTTTCCACAACCCATTTCTCCATACGGTGTCGTATGCCTTTTTCACGTCCAGGAAGAAGCAGTACGTCGGCTTTCCCGCCCTCTTTCTACCTTGGATGATTCTCCCTACCGTGAACACGTGGTCTACGCACCCCCTCTTCTTGCGGAAACCTGCCTGGCCCTCACTAATGCTATGTTCCTTCTCCAATACTCCCACTATCCTATCGTTCAGCAGCTTACAGAACACTTTTCCTACTGTGTTCAACAGTGTGATCCCCCTGTAGTTTCCTGGGTCAGTCTTGTCTCCTTTCTTAAACAAGTTCACAACCACTCCTTCCCTCCATCTACTTGGCGTATACTCGTTTTTCCACACCCAATTGTATAGCAGTACCATCAGCTGGATCATCCCCTTCCCCCCAAACTTCATGAACTCGTTGAATATCCCATCCGCTCCTGCTGCTTTGTGGCACTTCAGCTTGTTCACACACGCCTCAACCTCGTCCTCAGTGAACTCCTTTTCTAGTTCTACGTTCCCAACGTCTGCCTTCGATGTCTCTTCTTCTTTTTGGGCCCATGCGTCCACCTCCTTCTTAAACACTTGGTCAAAAGCTTCATTCTCCGAGGGCACTCCAAGTCTCTTGTAGTGTCCTGCTAGAACTTCCCTTTTTCCCTTCCCACTGCTGACTAATCCACCGTTCACACCTCGCAAAGTTGCTACCCCTGTATCCCCCCCTTGCGCGGTCTTTTTTACCATTCCACTAATCCCTTCCCACATCTGCTTGACGTTCCCCTCCAGGCCTCCGTTGGCCTTCTGCACTACTTCGTCCCAAATACACTTTTTCTTCTTTCTCACTAGTCCCTTCACCTGTTTTCTCTTGGCCCTGTACTTTTCCCAACTCTCCTCAGACGCCTCACTCAGGTACTGCTTGAAGACTTCTCTACGTTCCCCTATTTCTTCTTTCAGCTCGTCATCCCACCACTTAACCGATACCCCACATCGTACCACCTTCCTTCCCACTACTCTCTCTGCCGTTGCGTTCACGATGGACTCCCACCCTTCAATCACCCTGTCCCCTGCTGTCTGTACGTCTACCTGTCCGTCTTCGACGCTTCTCAGCAGTTTCCTGAAGGATTCTACACTACCAGCCAGCCCCTTCTGGAATTCATCCCGTGTCCCATCGTCTCCCAAACGCTCTACCTTCCACCGGAACACTTTCCTCTGTTTCTTACTCTTGATCTTTCTAGATCGGTCGATGTTTGCCCATATGAGGAAGTGGTCGGTCGAACCTATATCTATCGCACTTATGTGCAGCTCTGGGATCTGCGTGCTCCCCCTGTCTACCAGGATGTAGTCGAGGATTGAGTATTCATTGCAAACTGCCCGTTGCCTTGTGAACTCCGGCTTATCGCATTCCCTCCTACCGTTCAACATCATCAGTTCGTTGCTTGGGAGGGGGTGTACTCATAGTCGTGCATGCCGAAGTCGTTAGACCATTGACCTCGCATCCCTACAAAGCCGGGACGGAGCACGCCGGGTTCTCACCGGACCAGGCTCTCACATCACCAAGCGCGAAGCGCCATGAGATATTCGGCGGGTCGCATGAAGGGTGCGCTGCATCCTGCTAAGGGTTTTCGGCATCTTGTGCCTACTTCCTTGCGTACGAATGACAGCTGCATATGACATATATATTCTGGTGCTTTCACTTCCTGAGACAGTTGTAAGCACTGCTGTGTAACTGTCTCTTATACACATCTAG